TGTGTGTGTGTGTGTGTGTGTGTGTGTGTGTGTGTGTGTGTGTGTGTCGGTGTTTATGAGAATACAGAATTGGGTGATTTCTTTTTTATTAAATATCTGCGAAGACGAAAAGATATTCAATTTGAGTACGTACTTCGTTACTTTGGCACTTTTTGGATTCAAATGGTCAAAATACCAACTTATTACTTCATACAATTTAAGGTTGGTGGGTACGAATCTAGAATGAAAAATACCAAATTCAAAATGGTTGATCCAATATGGCGGACGGAAATATTGGAAAATCAAATAGATTAGCTTGAAACTTGGTTCTTTAGGATCGTGGGGTGGCTGATTGCGAATTTGAAATCTAAAACATCAAATTCAAAATGGCTAATCCAATATGGCGGGACGAGTATTCAAAAATATAACAGATTCGCTTGAAACTCACTTTTTTAGGAATTTTTGGGGTCTCTGATTGCGAATTCGAAATCTATAACATCAAATTCAAAATGGTTAACCCAATATGGCGGGTCGAGTATTCAAAAATCCACCAGATTCGCTTGAAACTCACTTTTTTAAGAATTTTTGGGGTCACTGATTACGAATTCGAAATCGAAAATATCAAATTCAAAATGGTTAATCCAATATGGCGGACGGAAATATTGAAAAATCAAATAGATTCACTAGAAACTTGGTTCTTTAGGATCGTGGGGTGGCTAATTGCGAATTCAAAATCTAAAACACCAAATCCAAAATGGCTAACCCAATATGGCGGATCGAGTATTCAAAAATCCAACAGATTCGCTTGAAACTCACTCTTTTAAGAATTTTTGGGGTCTCTGATTACGAATTCGAAATCTAAAACATCAAATTCAAAATGGTTGATCCAATATGGCGGGTCGAGTATTCAAAACTCCAACAGATTCGCTTGAAACTAACTTTTTTAAGAATGTTTGGGGTCTCTGATTTCAAATTCGAAATGTATAACATCAAATTCAAAATGGCTAACCCAATATGGCGGATCGAGTATTCAAAAATCCACCAGATTCGCTTGAAACTCACTTTTTAAGAATTTTTGGGGTCTCTGATTTCAAATTCGAAATCTATAACATCAAATTCAAAATGGTAAATTCAAAATGGCCGACGAAAATCGCATTTCCGTTAAAAAAATATTTCTGTAAACATCATCCACAGGAAATACTCAAATAGCTCTGAAATCCACAAAATAAAATCCAAGACCTCTAAAATCACAAAATAAAACCCTCTAAAAATTTCAATGTTCTCTTTCAAACTCATATTCTCATCGAAAAAATATTTCTACGAGCATATCACCGAAGCCACGTTTAACAAAAAAAAAAAATGTTCGAAGCGTCCAATCGGCTACTTCGGCTACTCTATCGACGTGCTCTAACAAGATGCTCCATCGAGTCAGCTCTAGAAACCGTCCGTTACATCAATCCGCGCACGTGTTCCGACTATCGACCATTGAACAACCCAAGCCATCCGGACTCCCACGAACTGCTTCGGCAATTTCTCCAAAGGGTGTCCCCTAGGGGTGAGCTAGCCAGTTGACTCGATGAAATGACATTCGCGAGACTGTGCTCCCCTCCTCGACCGTCCACTTCACGTATCGTTATATAAACCGTTTCGAGAAGCGGCGCTCTCGTCGTGGCGTACGGCTCAAGGAGTGGCCTGCATTAAACGCTTCAGCGCCCTCGTGCCTATATAGATGTCGATAGGGCAGATCGTGGCCCTTCTCAAGGTACCGCTCGAGTGCCACAGGGGGTGAAAAAGGTAACTCGAGTTCCGCGGCGACGTCGAGTAGTGCCTTTTCACCGGAGCCCTGGCGCTGTGGCTTCTGATCTTTCTCATTGTCGTGTCACGGAAGGATGATGACGCCCGGAAGTGTGGCTCTCTGCACGGTTTCTCTATACGTGTCACGCTCTAGATAGTCGTAGAGCGAACATCTAGAGGGAATTGTCTCCGTTGGTGGGTTCGGAGGGATGGGAGTGGCCGAGACGATTTCGTGTAGGGTTTTTTTTCTTACAGGAGATGGATCGTTGTCGTGCGAGTTCTAGGGATGCGTAGAGAGATTTGTGGACGCATGTAGAAGGGAGGGGAGGAAGGGAGGGAGGGAGGAGGGAGGGGGGGGGAGAGACTGGAACAAATGAAAAGTTCATACCGTAATCGGGTGTTTTTTGATTGTACAGGAATAGAATTTTAGGGATTATCCAGAATGGTAATCTGTGTTCTTACACGCTACGTTCTATATTCTATATTTTATATATTACATATCTTCTATGTTCTAGATTGTTTATATTTTTTATATTCTATATTCCACGTTTTCTATATTTTCTACTATTTTACGCGTTCCGTTCTATATGCTTCGTATAATGCTCTGTATCGTGCTCTATACGCTTCATAGTGTGCTATATTCTCTACATTTCAATTTTGTGCTCTATATCGAGCTCTATATCGTGCTCTGTATTATGCTCTGTACGCTATGTCTTCCCCTCCGTGCTCTATATTACGCTCTATACGCTA